CGAGCCTATACAGCTTGGAGTAAGACAACATGCATGAAGAGGATGATGTGGACAAAATACTCATTTGCCTAATAATTCTGCACTCCCTGTAGTAACATTTTTTTACTTACTTTTTAGAGTAGGTGGTTGTAGTGTATTATGGGCTATTGTAACTGTTTACTGTACAAATATGTAAATTTACAGGACAATATGGTGGACAAGACCAGGGCACACCACTGCACTAGAGTACTGTTAATACCACTGGTTAAGAGCCTGGAAAGGACCAGTAGGAAATGAGACTATGTACACTTACTAAAGTACTTTACTGAAGTACTGAAGGTGTGATGCACTTTTGCATTGTTTAAGCATTAATATGTTAGTACTACTTTCTGCTACAAGGCCACTCTTTTCTACTAAATGCCATTTATTTTTTTACTTAACATTTAGCAGATAAATTGTATCATTGTACATCAAGCTACTCAGCAACATATAATTAAAGTCATCAACAGCTGCAACATTAAAGGCATCAATGAATCAGTAATAATGATCCAAAATAATCACGTCATTAGTTACTATTGGCTCTCTTCTCGTTCCCATCACCTCCAACCAATGACAGTTGGCTGCCTCTCACTGAGCCTGGTTCTGCCGGAGGTTTCTTCCTGTTAAAAGGGAGTTTTTCCTTCCCACCATCACCAAGTGATTGCTTGTAGTGGTTTGTTTGATTGTTTGGGATTTCTCTGTATTCTTGTAGGATCTTTACCTTACAATATAAAGCGCCTCGAGTCAACAGTTACTGTGATTTTGCTCAGATAAAGTGAGACAAGTTTATATAAATAAAACTGAATTGAAATTAACTGAATTTAATGTATATTATTGTGAAAAGTGTCATTTATGTACGGTTTTCCCTGTCACAAGTCTTGTAGTTTTAGTACTTTCATATCAATTGTCCCGCATGTGAAATTGCGCTGTATACACATAAAGATTAACACTCTTCCACTTACACCGACCTTTCCCCCGTCTGCGTTGTATTCTTTCTCATCGCCGTCCAGCAGTCGGGCTAGGCCGAAGTCGGTGATCTTGATGTGATTGGGAGACTTTACCAGCACGTTCCGAGCTGCCAGGTCCCTGTGGACCAGCCTCCTCTCCTCCAGGTACATCATTCCCTGAGACAGAGAGAGAAAGAGTTGACTGCGAATCCTCTCATGAAGTCATTCATCATTTTAAATTTCAAGACTGAAGCAGTCTGAGATCGGTGATGCGGCAAATGTCAGTACTAACATAAAATTATTGTCATAATTGTCATTGTCATTAACTGCACATCCAAGCAGACATTTAGACTCAATCATTCATTGTTAGCACTTCTCATATACATGACTCAAAGAGATGGAGACTCCAAGTCGGCTTTTATAGCATTTCAGAGATGTCAGTTTTTTGGCGCAGACGATCTGCCTGTCAGAGTCCAAAAACAAAACTCAACATTTCTCAGTCTAAAATTTCCCAAACTGTGAGCACTCATATGACAGTGATGTCACCACAGATTTGTGGTTAGAGAACACTGAATTGCTGATATTCATGGCCACTGAGTCAATGATGACACACATTTTAAACGTAGAAGCTGTAAACGCCAGAGACCTTATAAGAAAGAGAGATGTGCTCAGTGGAAACCTTAATAGAAACATATAACAGAATCCAGTAAATGCAAAAATGGCAACAAACAGCAAATAGCTAACTTAGCTGGAGTATAGTTTCACGACATTTATAACTATTTGGTGGCATCCACTGCTGTGCAAAAGTCTTGAGCTGCCTCTCGTGTCTTTATATTTTGCAAGGGAATGGGAAAGAGGTGCAGTGTTTTATTGAAACATTTGAAAACGCACATGTAAATACAGTAAATAAGGCAAAAACAGAGTTTGTACAATCATAACGAGCTTGAAAGTCAATATTTGGTGTGACCACTTTTATTCTTCAGCACAGTCTGAACTCTCTTAGGCAGCTTTCTTGTCATTTCTTTAAGTCATCTTCAGAAATAGTTCTCCAGGCTTCTTGAAGGACACTCAAAGCTCTTCTTTTGGTGTTTCTGCGTTTTGTTCTGTTCTCTGTCAATGTGATCCCACACTGCTTCATTAATGATGAGATCTGGGCTCTGGGGAGGCCAATCCGAGACTGATGTGGTTGCCTGTGTTCCACAGTTTCCTTAGATAGTCAGGTCTGGACTCAAAATGAGTGAAAAAGCAGCCAATGTCCAAAGAAAAACTTTGATACCCTACAAAAATTACAAGAAAGCTGTTTTGAAGCAGCAAAACATAAAGAAACGAGGGGGCGCTCAAGATATTTCTATCTTCTCGTTTTGATAGTAACAAATATGTGAATAAAAGATGAATGCATGGAGTTTTTCATTATGAATGGTGTGACGTCAGCAATACTGATTGACCTCTTAATGAAGTCATAGAGTTGTTTAATGGCGAGCATGCGTAGAAGTGTGACCTGAAAAAGCTTCAAAAGCCAATTTTTTCAGGAAGAATACCCATTTTTAAAAGTTATTTCTGTCACATTAGACTGGTGGCTTTATACAGTTTTTATGCCCCGATGATAACAGAAAAGCTCTTTCCATATTCATTTTGACAGTGGATTTAAAATAAGAGCCCCGAAGCACTACTGAAATGACTGCCAGGTGGAGAAACTTCCTTCTAGAAGCTCTTTGACATTCACAATATATTGTTAAAAAAACAAAAACAGGTGCTGGCTTTGTACCAAAGTGTGCAACATCAGTACCTACGTCTTGCAACGCGTCCAAGTCAAATGCAATCTTGTTCACTCATAACTGACACGTCGCCTTGGTGTCCTCAGTAATTGGGGCCATTTTCAAGATGGCTGGGCAGGGAGAACAATGGATGCCCTGCTGATTTGTTAACGTTGATTATGAACACCTGATGAGCAAAGCGAGTAAGGGGAAAAACAACAAAGCTTAGACTGGAGACAACTTTGCTTCGCGGCCCTAATTTGTTGCTCAATGGGCTGGACGGAGCAGCGGCTCTTTGACAGTCGCACAAAAACCCATTTGTGGCTGTGCAAGCACACGCATGGACACACGTGAAGTCAAGCAGAGAATGCCAGACACACGCAAACAGGCACGTCTTATCATGCATGTGTGAGCACAAACACTCACTCTTCTCCTGTCTTGTGCAGTCATATCTGAAGAAAACTGCCAGATGAACAGGTAGACGGGCGAGGCTGGGCCAGCTGAAGCATTATTACTCTGGATGTTAAACAAGTGGATGCCATTTTGCAGGCGGATCAATGAAAACACCTTGGTGGTCATTATGGTCAGCGCACAATGAGGAATTCAAACCACGGCTCACGCATCCACTGGTGCGAGAGAATCATTGCCCATTTGAAATGCTTACTATGAAAATACAGTATATGCCTGTGTGTTCGTGGACACGCGGGCACATATCGAGGAACACTGTGTTGAAATGTTCACCGTGGCGAGCCGCCGCACGCCTCCTCCTCCCAGACGAATGTGAGGATAAATCGATCGCTCCAACGTCTGGCTCGCCGGTAGCTGAGTCCTCATCCATCATCCGCTGGTCTCGGGGAGACAGATGTGTAGAAACACATATGCACACGCACTCACACTGACAGTGACCACCCAGAGACCACCACCTACACGCAAAAGCAAGCGATATTTCACCACGGTGCCCAGCTCCTCGTGAAACGCATCCATCGGCCAGTTTGCATGTCTCTCACTTGCTTTCTCCGTTATCTCCCAGTTCAGGACACTTCCTACTTGTATTTCCTGTCTCCCTTTTTCTACATCTGTGGCTTTCCTCTCTAATATGAAGACAATGTGTCCTGACTAGGCAATGAGCACCCCTCTTTTACTGAAAGTGTATTTAAAATAGATTACTTCTGGGGGGTCGGGCAGGCGATCAATAACAATGCTGATTACAATAAGCCAGAAGACGACCGACTTCGGGCGTATTTATCCCGCCTGTTGACGTCGAGAGAAATTAGGAATCAATGGCCCACACAGTCCATTAATACACTTCGACTTAAAGTGACAGGGCAATGAGGGGAGGCCATCGCACTGACGGGGAACGTAGAGCAGCTCAAGGAGCCAATTAATTTTCAGCCACCCTGGGCAGTAAACAGCAGCGTCCCGGGGGGAGGGACGTTGGGGGCAGCCAGCGTTTCAGGTCGAGAGGGTCCGTCTGCCAGTGCACAGTTTAAGACTTTCAATCAAGACCCGAGTCCTGAGTCATGGAGCATAATAAAGAAATAAAAGGGTGATTAGATCATTAGAGATGATTGAAAAAATACGTGGATTACGTGATTTTTTTTGGTATTGAGAGAACAGCGGTCTTTTCATGCTCCCTGAACTGTACACGGTGAAGATGGTTCCTGTGACCTCTTGAAGAACTTGTTTGGTTTAATACATCATTTAACAAAGGTGCTTACTGCACAACTGGTCAGCCAGACAATTAAGCATTGATACCATCACAACTAGTCACCAGAAATACCAGATGAACTAATTATTCATAATTATTCATATAGTCTTAAGATCTAACACAATCTTGTGATTTTTAAATCACGAATGAACTTTGATTAACCCCACTTGATTACTGTTGAATTAAGAAATCACTTAATAAGAACCCGTTTGACATTCTCAAAAAGTACAACATCATGCCACAACAAACAGCAGAGAAACAATTTCACTGAGGTCGATCAGTCTTGAAAGTGTTAAAAAAAATTCTTAGGCTTTGGGACTCCAGTGAACCACGATCAGAGCCGTTATCCACACATGGAGAAAACTTGGAACAGCCTTCTCAGGAGTGACAGGAAGCTAGCATTTATCCACTCAACTAGAATAGCACATAACCATGTTCAGTTAACCCGAAACACATTAAATGCTAACAATGCTAAAGTTAGTGCCACTTGACATTCTGTTGAAGAGTCACACTTTGGTGCTGGTTTATCTTGCTGGCAACTAATACGCTGTAAGCTCAATGCAGCAGCTTGGGTTTGAATCTGCCTTGAAGTCATCTTTTCTTTTTCTCTCCACTTTCCTATTGCAGTAAAGGCTAAAATGCCACACTTGGAGCTACATTTAAAATATGATTGCTTTTAAATGGCTATTAAATACACAAGCAATATTCAGACCAGCAATTTTTTACCATAGTCATTAAACTGCTGTTTGTTGAGAGTTTTCTGGGTGTCTTTGGACTTTTGGATGATCAGTCTGATTATTAGTTGGCTTTGGGTCCCGCATCTTAAGAAGTTGGATTTAAGGTGAATGATAACAATAACATTTAACATAAACTCTACAATAAGCAAAACTGAAGAAATTACAAAATGAGTTCGGTGTTTGATTTCTGTGGCTTGGTTCAGTCGCTCCCTGAGCTTAAACAAGCTGATGTGAGATGTAACGGGCAGGTCAAGCAGTGTGGTAGGCAGCTTTAGCTGAACTGCAAGGAAAAGGGCGTATAGAGCTTGGCAGCACTGCAGGATTTCACTGCCTTAAATCCCTTAAAAGAGTTTGCAACACTTCCTGCACATAATACATCTCGCCTTATGTGGTACCAGCCTCAGCTGTGCCTCAGAAACTGCCTGTTTTCATTGAAATTGTCGATCCCCCACATCGTTTGCTTTGAACATCTCCTCAGAGCAAAGTAGTTTGGTTCTTCTATAAATGTGAGGGAAGATGATATGAATTCTTTTCAGATTTTAACTGACAGATTACATCAGAAAACATTTGTGTCTCCTAGCATTTTTAAGGTTTGTGGAAGCCCATTTTAATACCAATTAAAGCCTAATATTTATAACTATTTCAGGATCTGCAGGAACCCCGGAACAGCTTGAAGAAACAGCAGATGAGTAAAGTACCTGTCTACGTGCCCAAAAGGCAAAATCGCTTTGTTCTCTCTCTGTCAGCCATTATTTTTCTGTGGCAAAAAGCAAAGCTGTCGGCGTCAGAAGAAGAGCTACATTTGGCACCGTGCGTCACTCCAAACCTCCCACCGGGCCGATGCACTCAAAGTTCAAAGTAAATGTTTACGGCTGACCTTTGAAGGAAAGATGATGATGCTCAGGCTGATGTAGATAAATAGAGAGAAGATGCAGTTTGCCTGTGAGTTTTCTAACAAGTAACGAATGACATGCTACA